ACTGATTCTTTTGAATTAGTCGAGACTGTCTCAATCTCGATGGTCCGTATCGGTTCTCTTATTTCCACTCCACGCTCGTTGTTAATCATCAAAATTGTGATTGAATTAAGAGGCCGAGATGCTCAACGACGAACGACATATTTCCGGAGTTGTATATATATGTTGTCGTTGATCGAGTGAGAGAGAGGGAGAAAGACGTCAACCACAATTGAAGATCATTTATTTTGAGGCACATTATCTTCTTCCTTCTTCAAGACGATGACATGTCAAACCGTCCGTCGTCGTCAATAAGTATATGTTTGTCGTTCGAAGAATAGAAGGAAAAACGAAGATGATTTTTTTTCTATAAATCTCGAAAAAAAAAGAGAGATTGATTGAATACAGCATATTTGATTCGATTCTCTTCTTATCTCTCTTTTTCTTTCTCATCTATATATATATACATTTATATATATATATATATGAATCTAGATTTTCTCTATTTTCTTTCCTAGTAAAAAAAAATCGGCTCAGAGGATAGAGAAACTAATGACATTAAAGAGTTCTACACAGTAAACGAGCAAGCGAGCACGAACGATCACTTTTGCAGACAAAGAAGGAAGAGAGGGAGAGAGAGAGAACACGATTTTTGTTGTCCACATAACTACATAAAAAGAATAAAAAAAAACCACATCGCCTGTTGACGCTCGTTATGCTTGCTATTATTATTAGTGCCAATGAGCACAGTAAGCAATAAACCATACGCGGCTGCCGCTGAACAGCATCATCGTGATAACAGTCGAAAATGTCTACGTATTATACTTATTCTTGTCGGTATTATTATTTTGTTGGCTTGCCTTTTTCTTGCTACTGTCATCTATAGAACATTAAAAACAGGTGCTATTTACTTTTTCTTATTATTTTCTCGTCTAAGCGTATTCATTTAATATTCTAAAATATTACAGGCATTCAGAGGAAAAGTTTAACTACATTTTCTAGTAATAATACTGAGAATATTTATAGTAAGTTAAGTAAGAAGTTTATCATTTTGAATTTCTTTTTTTTCGTTATATTTAATTAGATCAATCTTCATTTGAATTTCAATCAGAACGACGTAAGAAAAAAATTTTTGTTTATTTTTTAAAGAAAAGAAAACTTCT